TACCGTGCCATAGCTCGGAGATTGGGAGTTAATCATACCTCAATATCCCGTGTTTAATGGAAATTCTGTAATGGTTTGGGGAGGAATTTCCTTGACAGCTCGCACAGAACTCGTCATTGTTCGTGGAGGTACCATGAATAGTGTACGATATATCGAGGACATTTTATCTGATCATGTTGTCCCTTTACATTTGTAATAATTTTTTACTGATGCAGGATAACGCAAGACCTCACAAAGAGTACTTACATGAGGGAGGTGTTGAAACTTTAGACTGGCCCGCAAATAGTCCGGATATCAACCCCATACAGCATTTTTGGGATAATATGACTAAGAAATCATGATTCCTTGCCTGCATCCCTTGATGACGTAGCAAATATGCTACGAGAAATATGGAATGTCATTGATCAAGGCGAGATTAGACATCTGGTTTCGAGTATGAGCCGTCAATGTGAAGACGTAATTAGAAGTAGAGGCGGAAATACGCGATATTGATATTCTTTATTGATTTTGTTCATATTTTTATTGTTATTGTTACAATCGTTATTTTTAAATTTTTTTTATTAAACTGGAGTTCTTTAATATTTAACTGTATATTTCTTTTAAAAATAAAGATAACGCGGTGAATTAAAAAACAAAATGTTAAAAGAAGATAAGGCTATAGTTTGATTATAAGAGACATATGGTGTTAATGCTGGTAAAATTCACAGGGCGTTTCAAATTTACTGGAAAAAACTTATTATTACTATTGGACCCTGTATATACTCAAAACGTAAATTTGAAAAAATATTTTAATAAAGGCATCATAACCAAAGAATAAACCTACAATTTAAAACAAAAACTACCAAATTCGGTTTGAAGGTTCGCGAGAAAATCAACTTTAAAATTGTGGCACATTTTTAGCGGTGCGTTAAATTTGACGCAAAGTGTACAGTCCGTTCAGGCTAAGTTGAGCGCTTTGGTGGGGAATCATGTGGCCGTTGATTAAATTAAATATCGAATCGTCGAGAGATTTTGGTAACAAGATGATTTATCATCGCCGCGGCTTGCCGTTTGTTAGTACATAGCGGCTACCAAAATACATGTATTTAAATGTGCCTGAACATAGAGATGATGGACGGGGTGACATTCCTTAGACCGCTCAACTTAGCCTGAACGGACAGTATATAAACTGCGCACCAAAAAGTTTGTTCTTTTTCAAAACGACATAACTTTTTTGTTTCTTGAACGATTTTATTTTGGTCTGTGATGTCTCCTAGCCTCATCCTCTGGCAATTTATGCTATAAATATGAATCTCACGGTTCTTCAAGTAAATTTCCTACAGGGTGATATGTTTCAAATGTTTCGAATTGGAATCTTAGCAACGAAATTATGATTTTTTTTTCAAAAGAGTAGTGTAGGCAATACACTCAGTCTTCTTAGGAACAAGAAGATAAGATGGTGAAAGATTGTTTCATAAATAATTCTGAACAAGCGACAAGCAACAAACTTCCATTATTTTTAGAGGGCCTAAGCAAAGAACACTTTTTCAAAATAACATTTTGGTAAAAATTTGCGAAAACTAAACCTAAACGGATATTTTCGCATGTTTTCTTCATACTTTTGACCTCCTGATTGTGATTCAATTATCAAATTTAAGTTTCAGATAAAACCAAAATCACCAAGAATTCGAATACGAAAACAATTTCCGGCTGTTAAATGTCTCAATAAAATACGATTGATGGTTTTTACTGCTTTTTACTGCGTTTTGCATCTTTAGTACGTTATTATCATGTCTCTGAATGAGGAATCGAGGATCAAATGATGAAAATTAGTTCTTGAAAAGCATTCAAAACGCATTATAAGGGATATTCTTGATTTTTTTCAGATTGCTTGTGTTTTTCCAAATTTCGAAGTTACTTCCATTCTTCCTCTAAAATTTACCGTTGATTTGAAGATGTTAATTCCCGTAGCTGCAGCAAAGTCTGGCATTTGCATTTTAATCATTTTAAGTTTAAATGATTAAAATGCAAATGCCAGACTTTAGCTGCAGCTACGGGAATTAATATGTCCAAATCAACGGTTCGCAGAAGATTGAAAGTTATTATTGTTATTGGTTTTTACATTTTTCTGTTGAATGTTGTAGTTTTGATTATGATTATAACTTCGCATAAAATTTTCAAAAATGAACAAAAATATTTTTGTTTAACTTTATTAACAATTAGGTAGGTACTTATCAGTGATAAGTTATAACTAGTGCGCGATGTAAATAAATAAATAAATGCCAAACCACAGAGGTTCTACTCTATGTGCAAAACAGTCAACGTCCACATGATACAAGGAACGTCCACACACATACTAAGCTCGCCACGTGTTTGCGAACAAACCCTTTGAAGTTACCGACTCGACCCGGAACTTGAACGAACAGCCGAGCTGTTCTAGAACTCTTCGCGAACTCGCGTACACACTAAGCTCGGAAAAGTGTTCACAAACTATTCGCGAACAGCTCGCGAACTTGGTCTGTACCCTGCTTAAAGCATGTTCATATTCTTCATTTTCTGGTGAATGGAAAGTTGATATCTCAGCAGGCGAAAGCATACTTGATGAATAAGAAGACATGGATTTATATCTTTCGTAGTCGATACGCTCGTGCAATAATATGTCTTGCAACCTTAATTGACATTTTAATGCCCGTTGAAGGGGTAGCTTTCGTAATTGCTGTGCAACATTCATTGCAAAAAAATGAAATTCATCTTTTTGGCTAAAAGTCCCTTAGCGAAAATGCAGTTTGGACTATCTACTTTTTGATAAAAAAAATTAAAAAAATTAAATTTTAAAAAAATTCAGTACTTTTCGTTTTTTATCGAATAAAAAAGTTATCACAATGAATTTAAAATTGTTGTTTCTTTTAATGGAAAGTGTTAATAAGCATTTTGCAAGTTTAATTGTCAAAATCGGTAAATTTTTGAACAAGAACAAGAAAATCTTTTTCGGTCAACGGATAAAATCGATTTTTACCGCAAAAACTAAATCGTCCAAAATCAACAATTTTGTTTTCGCAAACAAAAAAATACGTGTCTCATTATTTTGATCAAAAAACATCATAAAAAAATAAAATCATAGAAAAAGAAAATCATGACCTGCGAGTCGTTTGAAATGGAAAGACCTTGTTACATTATCGGAAGACTCGTCCAGATGTACTTCTACTTCTGTTTGACCGTTTAAAAGTATTTAGGTAATAGTTTTCTGTCTAATATTTATGAATTTCACCTTACCATATTGTTAGAAGATTCTCTTCCGAAACAATAGTCCAAGAACGTAGCTGCTTCGTCGAACTAAATAAGCCTTGGTTTATATAACAAATCTGGTGATGTGCCGGATTTATTTTTATTTGACTTTTCTTCAAATTGTATTTGTCCCTAATTGATTTAATTTTTTTTTTCACCATATTCACTGTAAAATCTTTCATATATATATATATATATATATATATATATATATATATATATATATATATATATATATATGATATATATGAATATATTCATTTCAAGTCGGATGTATTCGAATGCACTATTCCGCTTATCACGATTTTTGTAATTTTCATCGCAAACATTCCATAAGATTTTGCACTCTTTATACAAACAAACAAATATTAAGGTATCACTTTCAGTTCATCCATTTGGCGCCATTTTAACTCGCTCGACTGGTAAACAAAAAGTTCAAATGATTTTAACTTCACTGGTGCTAGTAGAATAAGCACAGTACTAGCGCTAATTAGGGTTTACATCACAGTTTTGGTGGTCTGTGGTTTACATTATGCTTGTAACATGCTAGTAGACTGGAGCAGTGTTGTTCCGTCTACTACATTTGTAATAGTTCTATTACAACGGCCAAAGATCTATTACGTCATTACAAAATTAATAAATCTATTACATTTTCAAGATTTGCTTTTTTTTTCAACAACAATTATATATACAGTTTGACCCATTTGTTTGCGATTTTAAACGGATTTGTTTTAAAGTGTATTTTTGGAGCAAAAAACGCCATATTTGTACAAAATACAAGACCTACTATGTTAGTTTTAAAAAGTAAATTTTTAAGAATTCATATTAGCGATTTTTTTAAACAAAATCTAAGCACGGCACTGGATTCACCACCCCTCAAAACGGCCCTTTACTAAATTTTATTGAAAAATTTGAAGTAGAAAAATGCACAATAATAACTACCAAAATTTATTCCGTCAAGTTATCCATGAAAAAAACAGTACCATGATAAGTAGGTAAGTACCCATTACCTGTACAATTTTATTATTTTATCGATATCTGTTTTTGTTAACAAATATTTAAATAAAATCTTAATTCACAAAACATGCATGATGTCTTTGGATGATTATAAAAAAACACTTTCTTTATTTTTATAATAATAGGTACTTAGTTAAAAAAGGGATCTATTACTTTTTTCTGTAAAATCTGTTACGCTTTTTTTCCCGCTGGGAACAACACTGGACTGGAGCTAGTTAACTGGTGCTAGTGAACAGCATATCACTGTCTTGCATTTTAACTTTCTTGTCTAGTGTCGCATCTTGAAGAAAGAGTATATTTAATCTTTGGCCTGGGGCTAAAACGCTGAAGATCAGTGTTTAGTTCACAGGCTCGCAAAGTCTCTATTGTTCATATATTTCATCAAAAAAATGTTTCCTGTATAATACAGAGTGCTCAAAAATTAAAAAAAACATGAAAATTGCTAAAGTTAATTAATGTTAATTTACACCATAGATAACAAAGCCTTTACACTTAAAACAATTGTTTTAAATTAAAAAAAAAACATATAAATGAAAAATCTTGGCTGTAACAAGATATTGAAAATAATAAATTAAATTTAATGATACTAAATTGTAATTTTATTAAATTGGTACCTACTTCCGAATGATGTGTATGTTTTGTTAGTTTTAGAGAGTAGAATACCTATATATAGCATATATGCTCAAAAACTAACAAAACATTACATTCAAAATTATTTATATTTATATTATTATTATTTATTTCACTTTGGTTAGAAGTGATTCTTTCTAACCTTACGTTTAGCAGATCCACTTAGATATTTTAGACAATAATTGTTGACAATTATTGACATTTTTGTAATATTAAATAATTTGCCTACCTCATGCACACACTATGCACTATGCAAATTCTTATAACCAAATATAATCAAAGAAAATGTTATCCAGGAATAAAGCATTTATTGTTTGCCATTTTTAAATGAAGGCTTGTCGTCAAGGGATTGTTTTAGAAGTGTGCAGGAAAGCTGTGGCTGCCAACACACTTTGGTCCATCGGAAACTATCAAAGAGGTAATAAAATAAACAATCTTTGAAGTACCGTCAAAAGCCTACTTTTTATTTAATATAGATAGGTAATATAATGTGTATTATTATACTAACTATTAAATACTAAGGTGTCGGGGCTCTTTGAATGACAGGGTCTGGGGCTATAGCCCCGGGGAGACTGGATAAAGGATGTCTGAGAATCATTTTAATTATGTGGTTCAGCAAATATTGCCCAACATACAAAAATCTGATATCTGAAAATAAAAACAAACTAAAATGTTCCACCTTATGACACCCAGGCATGAAATATTAAACATGTTTAATATGAATTGTGGTGTGGCATGGGCTGTTTGTGGACCAGGCATACTTCACAAAATTCGGTTATCACTAGTTGTGGATCGAGTGATCAACTTCAAATGTCAACCCGCCTTTATATTAAAATTAACATTTAAAAATAATGGTAGGTAAGTACTATTAGCTATACATACCAATAATAAATAAAAATATAGTTATTCCATGTCTATATTTATTATCCCCCAAATTAATTTTTTTCCACCAATTAATGTCTTCTGATTTGTTAACTGGAGCATCTCTTAAATTAGAATAAGCAAATGACGAAAGGTATGTCCAAAAACCAAACTGACACAATGCAAAAAGGTTCATAAATTTAAAATGTGTTTCTTTATCATACTTAAATAAAATGACATCTTTAACAACATTTGTGTTTACATTTGCTTTGTTAATACCAATATTTCGAACAGAAACATTTACTGTTTTACAATACTTTGTAGGTATTATTTTTAACACTGAATTTTTAAATATTTTAAAGTATAACCCAATCATCTTTCCATAGGTTATAAATTTCGTAACTATAACTATAACTATGTATAGGCACTGCCTATTGGCAACACTGCCAGAGTCTGCCTATTAGGCAGACTCTGGCAGTGTTGCCAATGGTGTTGACATAATTTACACACAGATTCTGTCAAAATTCCACAATTTTGCCAACTATTCCACACATTAGGGATTTTGGGTGGTGATTACTTAAAGGCGTTTTCAAAAACTTACTAGATTACTTACTTTGTAAAAAAGACTTATGGTTATAACCGGTTTTAAGTTACTCGATCACTTACCCTTGTAAGTTTCCAAAAACACCAGATTTTTTTAATTTTTAAATTAATCCGAAATCACTTTGCTGTAAATATATAAATCTGCACAGAACGCGAAAATAACTAAAATGCGCATTTGCAAATATATCTATTTAAATGCATGTTATAAGCATTGTTAATTTAAAGATAAAGTTTACACGCAAATTCCACGCATTTAAGTATTACACACAAATTACACACACAAAAATAAATTCCACACAATACGTGGATTTCCACGTACATTGGCAACAATCAAGATACATACACGTTAAGATAGGATGGTGCGCATGTTGGGCGGGGCTTAATGACGTCACTTGATGAGTGTTTTTAAATCTTTAACGTGCTTTTTAATTATCTACTGCTAAAATTCTTGTTTTTGCGATGCTTTTGGATGTTAACTTGCTTTACTTTTTGTTTAACTTGTCGTTTTTGTCTTCGGTAAGGTTCGAATTACTTTTCAGCGTTCAAATTATTGTTATTGCGTTAGGTTAACCTGTTAGGTTTGTTTATTATTGTTTTTGTGTTGCGTTAACTTGTTTTGTTTGTGTTTTAGATTGTATAGTGCCATTTGCATTTATTAAAATGCGGTGTGGCATATTTGGATTCAATTGACCATATGCAAGGAATGCGGTCGATGTTGCCAATGGTAAAAAAATAAAATTCCCTATTGGGAACATTCAATTATATTACGTTGGCTACATTGAAAATTTGAATTTCCCGCACAAACTAAATTAATTTCCATCTTTTTTTTTAATAATAATAAATACTAATAATTCCCACATTTGAAATTCGCACCTTAATTTATTATACAACATTGGAATTACCTTCTTTATCTCTGGGAACTACTAGAATGTATGTCAGTTTGTGCGGGAAATTCAAAATTTCAGTGTAGCCAACGGGTCATTTCATATCAAATCAACCAAAATAAAAATAGGTTTGGCAGGTCACCTCTCCGATTTTGATAATTTTTGGTACAGTTATTCTATCCATAAATAGGATCAAAAATCCAAAATTTCAGATTTTTCGGACCAGTAGTTTTTTTTAAATTAATTTTTGAAAATCAAAAAAACTGTCAAATTCTCCTCAACATGCTCCCAGAAAAAATAGAATATCTCGAGAACTACTAACACTAGAATAGCGATATATAGCTTATTTTAAAGGTCTTGAAAATACCTTTCGAATGAGGTATATCATGACATACATTTTTCAAAAAAGTTTAATTTAATTTTTTTCAAAAAAATACCTATATTTTTTTTGTCAATATCTTAGCAACATGTTGGCAAAATTTCAGGGTGGAGAAATAATGGGTTCATAGTGAAAAAAAATATTGAAAACTTATAAACATGCAAAATTCCAGCATAAGTGTTTTAATTTGTTATAAAAAACTTGTTTTTCGAAAACTGTCATTAAAAATTGACTTTTACATAATATTTATTAAGTGTCAAAACAACGGTTTTGTGTCTAAATGTTTTTTTAAGGTTTTTACATCCGTTGCTATTAGCAATGGATGTAATAGTTATTTGTTTTACAAGTGTTGAAAAGCGACTTTTTCAGGCGAGTTTTTAAGTTGTTCACGAGGCCGTTTCCAACGTTGTCAGAAGTATATATTACACGCCTTTTAAAATACGTTCAACATTAAAAATTACCAGTATTTCGTTTGAATAATAAAAAAATTGTAAAAAGGATTTGTTCATCATTTTCTTATATATATTTTTCTCTATTTAAAGAAAATAATCATTTAATAATTATTAAAATTAAATATAGAAAAAGGTTGACAGCTTGTTGTTTTGTGTTTTATAATCTGTTGTTTTCGTTTGTTTATTTCTATCGTGTTTTATTGAGTTTATATACATTATTTTTTACTAAAAATGGTGCGACAGTGTACTGTTTGTAAAAAAACAAACCAAAGAAATCCAAATCTATCCTTTCATAGGTAAGTAAGCAAGGTTCCAGTACACAATAGCACACTCTCAAAATCCAATTTTTATTGGAAATTTTCCACACAAATGGATATAAAACCACATTTTAAGCATATTTAGGGGCGGAAAAACCAAACTTTCACTAAAATATATGTTTATAGTGTTAAATTCAACAAACCTTGCTTAAAACTGTCACCTTTTCTATGTACTATGCTCCACACTTCAAAGTCCCACCACGTGACCAGGTACGGAACGCAGTCTTTTGAAAATTTGTCATTTAAGGCTTTTCAGGTTATGTATCTGTCAAAGTATAGTCAATGAAATAAATAATATTTATACTGTTACCGTTTATGTTTTTAAACGCTTAAAAGCGTTAAAAGTTTATAAATCTTTATAGTATCACAGTAACAATGGTTGGTTTAAGAGTTTAGGAGTATAAATACTGCATTTAATGAAATTCTAAAGTGTATAGTGCCAAATAAGTAAAATTTTTGTGCATTTGGTCTACATAATATGTTAATATATTATATCTAGTTTTATCCATAAAATAGTTTTAACTAAACGGCATTTATTAAAAAAATGTAGCTTCTCTATTATGGAATAAGAATATCTGTATCAAAGGTAGGTTAATATATTATAACAAAAAATATCCACAGTGACTAGAGGCACGCTAACGTACCGCGATTGGAAATATTAAAGGCACGTTAGTTACGTCATAATTATAATCCGTTTTTGTTCCCTGTCCATTTAATATTTGACATCAAGCTAAATAGCTTATATGGTAGGGCGTTCGCTTGGCATGCGAGAGGTCCGGGGTTCGAAACCAAGTAGCTGTCGAATTTTTTTTATTTTTTTATTTCATAAATTTGTTGTTTCTTTGTTAAACAGTGTTCGGTTGGGTTGGGTTGGTTGGTTTGTTTTAGTTTTATCGTAACATAAAATCTACTAGAAGTTGTCGAACTTTTCTTATTTCATAAATATGTTGTTCCTTTGTTAAAAAGTGTTTTATTTTTATCGTAACATAAATTTGCCCATTTTAGTTGGGTTTTTTGTTCAATGGGGCGGGGGGGGGGCCAATGGGGCGGGGTCGGTTGGGTTGTGTTGTTGAGTTTGGGATGGTTTGAGTTTATGACGTAACTAACGTGCCTTTAACATTTCAAATCGCGGCACGTTAACGTGCCTGTAGTCACAGCGAAAAATATCATCTAATTTTAAAATTTTAAGGTTAGAAAAATCTATTTTGATCAGAATAAATAAGTATTTTGGATTATTTGAAAGAGTGTGTTAATATGGTCATATAAATATAGATATACTAAATAATTGTTGAATATATATTCAACAATTATTTAGTATATCTATATTTATATGACCATATGGTTCAAATTAAATTAAAGCTTTTATACTCCTAACAACAAAACTTGTGCATACCTCTCGAGATCCCTACTTTAAGTTAGATTATAAGGAAACAAACAATTTTATTCATTTTAAGGTGTTGTTTTGGATTCCTTTAAAATAAACCCCTATAATGTTGGTTTAATTGGAATAAAACACACTTTTAAAAATCTTGAAATATATTTAAGTTTTAAGTACTTTAAATAAATAAATATTTATGCCCAATGAAAACAAATTAGTTATCAACTACCTAAATGTAAGCTGTAATTAAATAACTTGCTCTTGGAAATAAACACCACCCAGATAACATTCGTGAATGCACATTAAACTCACACCGGGCGCACGCCGTGAATCTTCAAAATTGAATGCATCGTGAATTCACCGTGAGTTCACAGATAACATTTGTAATGCACATTTAATTCACATAGGGTGCACGCCGTGAATCTTTAAAAATGAATTCATCGTGAATTCACTGTGAGTTCCCAGATAATATTCTTAATGCACATATAATTCATGCCGGGCGCACGCCCTGAATCTTTAAAAATGAATGCATTGTGAATCCACTGTGAGTTTCCAAATTACATTCCTGAATGCACATTAAACTCCTACCGGGCGCACGCCGTGAATCTTCAAAATTAAATGCATCGTGAATTCACCGTGAGTTCACAGATAACATTTGTAATGCACATTTAATTCACATAGGGCGCACGCCGTGAATCTTTAAAAATTAATTAATCGTGAATCCACTGTGAGTTTCCAAATTACATTCGTAATGCACATTAAATTCACACCGGGCGCACGCCATGAATCTTTAAAATTAAGTGCATCGTGAATTCACCGTAAGTTCACAGATAAGGGGTCATCCATTAATTACGTGAGGCAATTTTGGCGATTTTTCGACTGCCACCCCTCCCCTTGGGAAAATGCATTGTTTTAATGTAAATAAGTTAATCTGTGATTGATTCCATTAGATTTAATAAAAAAAAACAATTGTTATAATTGTTTACTTAATTTAACCCAGTTTTCTCGCCATTTTACACTGTTTCATTTTTTTCAAAAATTACGTGATATTTGCCGAGACCACCCTCCCCCCACGTGAGATTGGGTGGGGTTTGGCTCGACCCCCTCCCCCCCTAAACACCTCACGTAATTAATGGATGCCCCCTAACATTTCTTATGCACATTTAATTCACACCGGACGCACGCCGTGAATACAGATCTGTTAGCACGTTTAATTAAAGATCTTCAAATTTATTTTGATAGGTTAGCTATACCTCTGTTTGATAGGGAAGGTATACCTACCCTATCAAAATAAATTTGAAGACTGAATTCGAAATAAGAAAAAGAAAACATAACATTAAAGGAATATTAATTAAAGATTTTTATTAAATATTAAACGGAAAATAAAAAAGTACATTTTTTAA